GATGCTGTTTCACTCCAGAAGACATGCATTCACATACATCAGGTCTAGCCTGAAGTCTGTCTGAAGTCTTGAACTACCAGGGAAAAACATAAATGAACTTATTCCATATTCAATGCATATTTGTTTCCTATTTTATTAAGGCCTATAGATGTATTAATCATATATTAAATCAACTTTGCACAACAAGTGAAACATTTATTTTTTGGCAGATATCAGTATTTGCTAATAACAGCATTTAAAAATAATTTATATCATACCAGTTATGATAGGAGTCAAGTGAGGTGTGGTTACAGAACTCACAGAATGGTTGAGGTTTGAAAGGACTTCTGGATATCACCTGGTTCAATGCCCCTGCTCAAGAACCTAAAGCAGGTTGCCCAGGTCAGTGTCCAGATGGCTTCTGAACACATCTAAGGACGGAATCACCAAAACATATATGGACAACATACGTGTCATCTACAGCTGCTCTATTTTATCCCTCATAAGATGACTTCAGTTAGACTATAAAATATTGCCCTAAAATATACAGACCTTGTTTTTAAAAGTATATCCCTGCAAGTGCTTGTTCACGAACTACAATCCACAGAACAACAGCAAATACGTTGCAGATGCTTAGCAGATACCTCAAAACCACCTACTAATATTTGCAATGGAAAGATCATGATTGGTTGTCTGTGAGAAACATACTGAATTGACAATATTTCCTCACATTTTTGTACCGATGTTTTTCCTGTGGAAGTGCTGTTTTCCTCCTGGAGAAGCACAGTAGTAAAGTAAAAAGGGAGCAGAGTTCTGCCTGTATTTCACATTCAAAAATATTGCAGTAAATCTCTGTCTAGGCATTCAGAATGGGATACTAGTGTCACTTCAGTGGTATTTCCAACAGAACAAGTCTCTCTCTCTTTCTGTCATTCAAGCATTACTTATTAAGAGGTATTTCCAAAGTTATTCTGCTGACCACTAATACCTTGATGGTCGCTACTACAATTTTATTATTCTCATGGTAGCACTGAAATGCTATCCATTGAAATATTCCTTACAAGAACATCGAGAACAGATTTACTTTCCCATGTTTGAAAAGGCTGACATTTCCAGAGACCAGCACTGCTCATTTGCAAAATTGAGACTGATTTCAAAAGGTCTATACGCAACTCAAGGCTCCCGCAGGATAGCAGAGATGACAGTAAGCAGCGTAGCCTTGACTAATAAGATGACACTTCTTTATGGTAGGACACCCTCCAGCTGCTGGAAAGCATTGAAGGGAGACCGAAACAGTACCAGAGAGACAGCCAGCTCTTAAGCTGCTTCATTTCTGCTGAAGAACTAGAGTAGGAACCTTTGTGGATCCACTAATATACAAAAAAGTGTACAACTTTTCATCCAGCTTTTCTGACTTTTGGCACGCTTATCTATTAATTATTTCATGCTGTATCAACCTACCAAAACTCTTTTCACCTCACACCACTTATGACAGATGCAAGACTAGATGATACCAAACACCTTTGAAAGGATACACCTTATATTTTTATGGATCTGTAAATACATGAGGGATATTTTTACTGTGACAGATACAAATTATAAGAAAAAAAAGAGATTCCAGGCAGAGATAATATATTTTATCATTTGATCCCTTTGTGAAGAGCAGATAGCGAGGCTCAGCTAAGTCCATGATAGGCACAAGAGCTCTGAGTGCTTGGTTCCCCCACCATTAACATCAGCATTGTGCACTGCTGGAGTCACCCAGCAGTATGAATTTGATCTGACTCAGACGTGGGCACATGATTGCAATTCTCTCACATTAGTCAGACTCTATGGAGCTGTACCCTTTTATACTGGCTCTGTGCTGGAGGAAGGAGAAGGGGCACTGAGCTGACTCAGTAAAGATTTCTGAACAAAGATCCACCAGAAGCTCAACCTGCTACAACCTATAGCTCTGGCATTTTGGAGTGGACTTCATGAACCTTCAGTACAGCAGCAAGCTATTGGCATATCGATAATACTATTAACTTAATCTGTTACTGAGCTTTGAGAGAGAGGTTTTTAGCACATGCAGAGCAGAAAGCAGTGCCAGGACAGAAGAGAGGTCACCAGTCTTAGAGAGGAGCAGGACAACCAAGCATCTAAAAGCTACTAGGAATAGAGTGGTCTGACAAAAGTGGTTATAGGTGAAATAAGCGTTTCTATTTGTAACTGACAATCATAGCATGACATTGTGATTCCCTTCATCTTTTCATCCCTCTCTGATATCTAAACCTGATGATGAGAATATGATTTTCTGACTGCAGTTGGAGAGCTCAAAGTTGCAGTCCCCAATAACCAGCATTCCTTCTAATGCAGTGATCCAGAACTACCACATCATCTCTTCCAGCCGAACCATTTTCCCCAATATGGTGTTTTCTTGTTGCCACCACAGTAACATCTAGCTGAAGACCTGAACTTTCCAACATGGACACACAGTATGTGGTCAATATGCCAAAACCTTTTAGAGTCCTGTTCACCCTTAGTCTACCTCATTTTGCCACAGTGAGACTCTTCACTCATGTCAACAACACTGATTTCAAGAGAAATATGTGAACATATACTAGGAGAAAAAAATTGGAACTGGTCTTTCTTTCTCATTCCCCCTCCTCCACAGCACTGCTGAGATGTTTATTACTTTGGTGCCTATTTGCTGTCTTGTATAGTATAAATTTGGACTGAAGTGACTCCTACAGTTTAACAAATATAAAATATTTTTGAAGTTATGCTTGGTCAGATACAAAGTCTGGAAAACATCAGCCCAAAGTTATCATAAGTGAAATGAAATAAAACCATAATTCAGTCATTCATCATTACTCGATGCAGTGGAAAGTACTGCTTCCAAAGCCTGAATTTACTGCCTTTTTTTGTCTGCTGAAGACCATAAATTGTTGATCAGATGAACTTTTCTGAAGTGTAAAATACATTGAGTCAAGTTCAATTTGGTTAGGCAATAGCAACACTTACTGGAATCAGAGAGAGAAATAGATCAAAATTCATAAATCGGTTGCACTGACATTGACGACTTGTCATACAAGGACTGAAAATCTTCAATTGAAATGGTTAACTGGAAGATTAAGTCTGTACCCAGTGGATCTGGATCCTTCAAAAGCATGAAATGATTTGGAAAATTGAGGGGACACATTTTTCCCAGGTACTTAGGTAGCCATTTGTCTACCTCATTATGCAGCTAAATAACTCTGAAAATGAAATCTTCAGTTGTACTCTCAAAGGAGACAGATTTCTAGAGGTGCACAGATGTCTGGGAGGTTGACAAAGTGCCTGGCTGTTTAGCTCACAATAAAATCAATGAGACTTAAGAGTCTCATATAAAACCATGTCGATCTGCCTAATTAAAAAAACACAGTCCCTAAGATCATGTGTCTTGTTAAAATCAGCGAGGTTGGTGCTCCTGCAAGCTCTCAAGGTTATGCTTTGGCTCTCCATGACATAGCCCCCAGGCAGCTAGCAGGAGAACCTGATCTGTGGGAGCGAGGATGCTCAGGTGTCACGGCTGAACGAGCCCCCAGGCACAGCTGGGCTGTCAGGACCAAGGTCTTGCAACAGCGGGAACAGATGGTCTTTAGAAAAGCTGACATGAAAACAGACCAGTCCAGATCTTCACAGAGACACCTCAATCATATTTGCACTATTCAAAGCAAGCCGTGGGTTTGCTTGGACAGTTTGAGAAGGTGTTTTTCTTTAAATAGCAACTAAGGATGAGAGTTGCCACTTCCAATTTAATCACCCTTCTTTAATATAGCCTGCTGCTTTGCAGCTGGGTAATTAACCTTGGTACTCATTCAGACTTCAAAACACACAGCTCCCATTGCTGTCAATTAGCTGACAATGTCGAGTGTGTGTTGATGGAAGGGGTTTTTGTGACCCCAGTTGTATGGCATTTGGGAAACTTCAGCAGCTAATACAATCATCTTGCTGGAGAAAGTCGTTCACAAACTACTCCAAAAATTTTAGTGTGGGAAGTGAGATTGTGATTTTGTCGCTGGATTGAATTTGCTAAACAAAACAGATGTACATTAAAGTTTACCCTACTTCCTGTTCTTACTGCAACGCTGCTTTCTAAAAGATCCCTCCAGATAATTGGCAAACTTTCTTTTTATCTTGCTTTGTGCAGCTCTAAAAGAAAGGAAGATGCCTTGATCTCAGCAAGTGCATTCAGAAGCTACCATACTTTTTAATACTAATGTAAGGCTGGAGGCAGGGTTATAAATGATTGTTACAAAATATTTTTTTATGTATGAGGCAGTGCAATAAAGACCGCAATATCAAAGTGGGCCACAGTATGGGAAGGGTCAGTG